TTCACTGGTTTGCAGCTCTGATTGTTCTAAGGGAACGTCAACCAATGAACAGACCTGATTCACTGGTTTGCAGCTCTAACTGTTCTAAGGGAACGTCAACCAATGAACAGGCCTGATTCACTGGTTTTTTAGCTCAGCGAACCCTGCAGGGAGCTCAGCTCAGTCTGCCACTGTGGGTGTGATCTCCATTCTTCTGGTAACACTCAGAGGATGGTTCGCTCCTAACTCACATTTAGTCACAGTTGCACAGGAGGAACCGATCTGTACTTCTCTAAATTTGGACAGAATGTGTTGCTATAGCAACAGCAGCCTCTTGAATGAAAGCTGTGGTGTGAAGCATCACAGATGGAGCTGACTGTGAGGAGCCTTTCCAATGATCCTGATGGTTCTGATGGACCGCTGGCTGCCTGGTCCGGATGCCTCCATTTCTATAAACAGCTTTTATAGAACCTTTTACTTCCAGCCCGACCCAATTGGCCTTGGTTCTGGTGTTGGAAAGGAAAGTGTTGCTGGTGAGCCTCCTTCAGAGCTCCTCCTCCTCCTCCTCCTCTGAACTAATCCATGGAGCTGGTGGGGAGCAGAGTGCAGCACAGGTGGTTAGCTTTTAATAGCCTGTTGTGCTAATGTTAGATGTGAGGCTAAGCTAACCTGCAGCTCTTAAAGTTCACATCTCAGATCCCCCCTGCCCCCCCTGTGCTTTGGATGGTCCAGGTGAAGGAGCTGGTCTTCTGACAGCCCCTCCCTCACAGCGTTGGTATTTCCGGCTCCTAGTACGGCTCTATGGCAGCAGATAAAGGGGGGGGCTCTCAGCCTACACAGCCTCCCAGCACAGCTCAGCCTCAGTAATGCTGGGAATGCTGTGACACAGAGGAAGGCTGTGCTGCTGCAGGACGGACCGAGCAAACCCAGTGAGTAAACATTTCTCTTCCTTTGGTCGCTGCTTTGCAGCTGATGGTGTCAGCAGACTGTCCTTCTCCTGCCTGGACCACCAGCAGCTCCATCAACACAACATGTTTAATTAGAGATAAAAAAGGAGCGAGGGTCTCTGATCCCTAATCTTTTAATGCCGTTAAGCAGTCAGCTGTTTGCAGGCGCCCAGCAGGGGTCTGGCTTTCACTAAACTTAAACTGCAGCCTCCTGCAGGAACACTGAGGAACCAGAGCTTCCCTGAGCTTCTGAAGGTGCAGCAGATAGAAGAAGTGTTTCCCTCCGTCCCACAGAGGTGGTTCATGGGCTGATTTCTTCATCCCTCTTTGCTAAGCAGGAGAAATGATTATTTCCTGACACGTTATGGTCTTCAGCTGCTGAACGACCTCTGGAATCACCAGGTTCCTCCACAGGAAGGCTGGGGTTCAGAGACCAGGTGTTTAAACAGCTGGAAGGCGTCCTTCTGCCTTCATCCCAGTTATCTCCATAGTCTCTAAACCAGTCCCTCACAGTAGAGACTCTTTCCCACTGACTGCATATATTTTAACACATTTAGCTAAACTGGTTTCTTGATATTGATGGTTAAATGTTTTCCCATCATGGTCATCATGGATCATGGTCTCCTACATCTAGACAAACTGCACACTTTGTTTCTTTCAGGTGTGTCTGGAAAGAAACGCAACAATGGAACAACCAGCTCAACCGTTTTTATCATTAAAGTCTAACTCACCCTAAAGCAACTGTTTGGAATCTAAACTATGGGATTTAATGTTGCTGTGTATTTTTTTTACATTTTCATAAGGGAATTTATAAATTCTGTAATATTATATCATCTTAAGCTGCCATCTAAAGGTTGACCTGTGGGGAATGCAGTTGAATATTTCTGTTGCTTCTATGTTGGTAAAATCTTTCATCCTGTTATCCTTGAGTTCTGGGACAAAATCCACCGAGAACTGGTGAGGCTCCATCCACGATGCATCGCTAGAATTCTGGTGACAAACAGCGAAGACAAAGCTCCACCTATAAAGATCTATCTCTGGGGAAACCACCAGCATGTCCCTGCTAAGCCTGGAGCCTCAATGAGGATGGCTAAGCTAAACTAGGCTAAGCTAAGTTAAAGAAGGCTAAGCTATGCTAAACAAAGTTAGACTTGGATAAGCAATGCCAAGCTAGGCTAAGCTAAACTAAAGAATGCTAAACTAGGCTAGGCTAAACTGGGCTAGGCCAAGCTAAACCAGGCTAGGCTTAGCTAAGCTAAATAAGACTAGGCTTGGCTAGGCTTAAAAAAAAGCTAAACTAGGCTAAGATAGGCTTGTCTAAACAAGGATGAGCATGGCTAAGCTAAACATGGATAAACTGGGCTTGTCTAAATAAGGCTAATGTAGACTAAGCTAGGCTTGTCTAAACAAAGCTAATTTAGGGCTATGCTAAACAGGCTTTGAGTTGAATAAGCAAAGGCTAAGCAATGCTAGCTAAACAAGGCTAGGCTTGGCTAAGCTAAACATGGCTAGGCTAAACAAGGCTAAGATGGGCTAGGCTGAACATGGCTAAGCTAGGCTTATCTAAACAAGGCTAAGCTAGGCCACCCTAAAAAAAGGCTGAGATAGTCTAACCTAGACTTGTCTAAATAAAGCTAAGTTAGGCTAAGCTACAAGGCTGGGTTATGCTAAATTTGGTTAGGCTGGGATAAACAATGCTAAACTAGGCTAGGCCAAACAAAGCTAAGCTAGGCTACACTAAGCTAAGCTAAGCTAGGCTAAACAGGGCCAAAGTCCCACCCCTTCCCTTCGCACTCTGTTATCCACCAGTATAACACTGGTTGAACTGCAGTAGTATGGCAGTAGAACGGCATTAGAACCCAGTAGAAAGAAAGAATGACAGTAGAACCAAGTAGAATGCAGTAGAACGGCATTAGAGCCCAGTAGAAGGGCAGTAGAATAGCTGTGGTATGGCAATAGAACGGCCTAGATTTCAGTACAACGCAGTAGAATGGCAGTAGAAAGTTGAAAATTGCAGTAGAACAGTAGTAGAACACAGTAGAATGCATTAGATTGCAGCAGAATGCAGTAGAACGGCAGTGGAACGCAGTAGAAAGCATCAGAATGGCAGTAGAAAGTTGAAAATTGCAGTAGAACAGTAGTAGAACACAGTAGAATGCATTAGATTGCAGCAGAATGCAGTAGAACGGCAGTGGAACGCAGTAGAAAGCATCAGAATGGCAGTAGAAAGTTGAAAATTGCAGTAGAACAGTAGTAGAACACAGTAGAATGCATTAGATTGCAGCAGAATGCAATAAAAAGCATCAGAATGCCAGTAGAAGTAGGGGAACTGGGCCGCTCCGGGCTGAACCAATAAAATCTGGTAGAACTTTAAAGAGCCTTCAGATGACATGATGTGAACTAAAAGCTGTTTTAGGCGGAGGGCCGGCACCAAGGACCTTCTAGAAATGCCTCTGATGGCCTCGTTCATCTGTGAAGCTGAACATCATTTCTGGAAAGGAAACCCTATTCAGATTAAACCTTTCCTTTTTAAAGCCCAGAGGGAATGAAATGTTTTCATCATTGTCTGATTTACATCACAAACCATGACACTGATAGTCAGTTCTATTTAGTTGATTTCTATAGTTCGGATCAGATCCTCCGGTCCTGGAGTCGGTCCTGTTGGTGGTTCCACATCCTCACATATCCTATTCAGCTGGCAGCCTCCTGCTCCCAGTGTTTATTCCTTCAGTCCCACTAATCATCCCAGCAGCTTTCCAGCAGCGGTGGCCTCCTTTACCGTCACATGTTTGCATCCTTTTTAGGACAGAAATATAAATCAAATCATTTGGTTTTGGACCTTCTGAGATAAACACAGTCAGGCCACCATGATGGCCTGACGCTCAGCAGCAAACATGCCGCCTGGGACTAATCCATCAAAAGGTCAGATTAGACAGGAGATCCTGGATTAGAGGTCAGACGGTGGGCTAATGAGCAGACAGCAACATTCAGCACCAGACTCACACCTTCAATGTGTAGAAGGAAGGAACCTTTAATCTGGTTTCATCTGCTGGGACCAGAATGTGGATTAATAAAAACTTGATGGTTCTAGATTATCATTATCCTCGTGTAGTACTTGAGTTATAATCCAGATGATGACCCGGATTATGACCGTCAGACACTCCTTTAACCTTCAGTGAAGAGCGAACCTCAGCTTCATCCATTAACCAATCAGATCTCTGATGATCCAGATAATCTGGCTCAGAGAGTCTGAAACTGGTTCTAGAAAAAAAAACCTGTTCTCCTCACATCTTCTTTTTCTACAACTTTGTCAGATTCAGTCCAGCTAATCTGGAAAGCAGTTCATCAAAGACTCTTTGCACATATGTATCTAGAATTTCTGAGTCAAGGTAGTTTGTTCAGTGATGTTTTTAAATGTGGATGGAAACTAGCAATAGCTAACTCTGTAACAACACATCTTTAAGATTCAAGTATTTTGTCTGTGAACTGAACTGAACTGGACACAACTGGACTTAACTGGGCTGACCTGGACTGAACTAACCTGGACTAATATGGAATGGACTAAACTGAACTGAACTAGTCTAGTCTGGACTGGACTAGACTGGACTGGACTGGAAAGAACTAAACTGAACAGAGCTGGATTGGACTAGACTGGACTGGACTAAACTGGACTAAACTGAACTAGACTGGATTGGACAGAAATTGACTGCACTGAACTAGGCTGAAGTGGACTGAACTAAACTGGACTAATGTGAACAAGACTAAACTGAATTGAACTGAACTAAACTGGATTGAACTAAACTGGACTGGACTAAACTGGACTAAACTGAACTAGACTGGATTGGACAGAAATTGACTGCACTGAACTAGGCTGAAGTGGACTGAACTAAACTGGACTAATGTGAACAAGACTAAACTGAATTGAACTGAACTAAACTGGATTGAACTAAACTGGACTAATGTGAACAAGACTAAACTGAA